AAAGAGACTGGACAATAATCGTGCACCTATGGATGAGGACAGTGTTGGGGGGTGAGGGCGGAGGGTGGGGTGGGAACTGGGTGGAGGGGAGCTATGGGAGAAACAAAGAGGAACAACTGTAATAATCTGAACAGTAAAGATTTAATTAAAAAAAAATCAATGGGAAAAATATCCTCAGGTGAGGAATAACAAAAATAAAATAAAAGTAATAACCCATAGGCTTAGAGTGTTTGGAATATGACAGCATTCAATAAATGAAGTAGCCCTGCTCTGCTACTATTATTACTACCACTACACCTCACACATAAATTAATTTTTAGGAAAATATAAATATCAAAAATAATTTTCCAGGTAATATTAACTTTAAAAAATTTTGAAGGTGTAATAAAGAAATATTGTGTAAATTACTTGAGTCTTACTAGTTTAGGATCTTTGTGAATAATATGGAAAATCAGACTCAATGAAATTGATTACTCTCTTTAATTTAATACAATCCTCAAATGGGGAGACAATTGAAAGACAAAGAAAAAATATTACCAACATGGTCAGATCGAGAGAGATATATTTAAGCAAGCTTATTATGCCTAAAAAACTAAGTGAGAAATATAAAATTCTCTTTAGGCCCTAGCTAGTTGGCCTCAGTGGATAGAGTGTCAGCCTGTGAACTGAAGGGTCCTAGGTTCGATTCTGGTCAAGGGCACATGCCGAGGTTGCACGCTCAATCCGCAGTGGGCAGGAGGCAGCCGATCAATGACTTTCATGATTAATGTTTCTCTCTCTTTCTCCCTCTCCCTTGCTCTCTGAAATCAATAAAAATACATTTAAAATAATAAAATTCTCTTCAGTACTGGATGTGCACGACTGTGGTGGTTTTAAGTTCTTCCATAGCCTTATCAAATAGACTAATAAAAAGCTATTTACAGGTTTCTAAAATTTTGCTTCAAACTCACACCTTCCTGTTGTGGAAGCCTTATCTCTATATAACTCTGGAAGGTTAATCCATTTTTTAAAAATATGTTTTTATTGATTTTAGAGAGAGGGAGGGAGAGGGATATAGAGATAGAAACATTGATGAGAGAGAGACATGGATCAACTGCCTCCTGTACATACCAGGGATCAAGCCAGCAACCCAGGCATGTGTCCTGACCAGAATGTAACAGGGTGCATAGATTTACGCTCAAACACTGAGTCATACCAGTCAGGTGCTTAAACATACCTGGTAGAGGAAAGACTTGATAGTTTTATCATTTGCACTAAGACTACAGCTCTCATACCCAAGACCATCTTTAAGCCAGTCTGATTAATAAATGCAACCCTAGGATCTGAGACAAACTTGCTACTGCTTTTTTAAAAGAATAAAGTAAACATTTTAAGAAAACAAGGTGGTATAATGTAGCACACAGCATTTTTATTTAGCTTTCACCTACTAAGACAAAAAAAAAACATTATGAGGTTATCAGATCTTCCTGCAGTTTGAAACATAGGGAAATAAACCTATGCCAGTGAGGGCAAAAGGAGATATGTGAGCTCCAAAATACAAACTACTAGAGATAAAAGACTCCAGATACAACAAGCCATCATTGGCAGGCCTCCTATAAATGAAAGGGCTTCAATTTTCCTTCTATACAAAAAATATTTTCCTGAATCATTCAACAAAAGTAGTGTTACTAATACTAAGTGAATAGAATACTATATTTTCATTCAAATTAAGGGTTAACAAAATTAATATTCTGCTTTAGTACAGGAGAAAATGTTTGTTATACGTACTAAGTACTTCAACTAATACAAGATTATTCACAAGATCACCAAATGATTACAGTAAAGAATGTTATACTTAATTCCAACGAATAAAATAACCATTAAGGAAAATTCTTTAATAACAATGCTACCCATATTATATACATCAAAATTCCTTAGCAATAGTGGATAAAGAAGCAAACAAATAAGGGCAAGAGCCAAATTTCTGGCTTTTAATATGATTAATGAGACAACAAAAACAAAGTTCGGTAAAAGTCTGTAATATAAAAATGGAAGAGGTCTGGCTTGTGTGGCTCAGTGGTTGAACATCAACCTATGAACCAGGTCACAGTTCGATTCCCAGTCAGGGCACATGCCCAGGTTGCGGGCTCAGTCCTCAATAAGGGGCATGCAGGAGGCAGCCGATCGATGATTCTCTCTCATTACTGATGTTTCCATCTCTCTCTCCCTCCCCTTACTTTACGAAATCAATAAAAATATATTAACAAA